GGCTCACCAAGAGTCAGGGCCAGCCAGCTCGATGGCAGCTAAGAACAGCTGAGAAACATAAGTACACTTGTAAGGCACATCCTAGGAGCTCTGGTGGTGCAGAAGTTAACTACTGAGCTGCTAACCTAAAGGTTGCTTGTTTGAACCCACCAGAAATTCTACCCATAACCTCCTCAAAATCTCAGAATCTGATGACAAAGTCCCTCTTTCCCTCTGCCCCCGCTCCCCACCCCCGGAAAGTCTGAAAGGGTTGTTGTCAGCTGGAACATGGCCACCATGCTGTCCATGTGACAGGAAGGGTCTGCTCCTGCTAGAGCTAGGCAGCTCCTGCCTGCTTGTACAGGGTTCTTTCCAAGGCTTCATTCTGCCAGCCTGGCTCCTCGAGGCTCCAAGTCTGCAGGTTTCGTGATGACACAAGGTTCGTTCTCTAAGAGCCTGCCCGGCACAAACGCAAACATCCGTTTCCATGCCTGGAACACTGTCCCCAACTTCTAACACCTTGTCTTCTCCATGAATGAATCAGAGCAGGAAAGAACTGTTCTCACATCTCAAAAGCACATTTGTTGCCCGGGTAGAAAAAAATATAGTTTCCCTCCTCATGTCTTAAAGGAGCTCTGGTAGCATAGTGGGTCACATGCAGGGCTGCTAACCCCAAGGTCAGCAGTTTGAATCCACCGGTTGCTCCGTGGCAGGAAGATGAGGCTTTCTGTTCCTGTAAAGAGTCTACACAGGTTTGCTAAGAGTCGAAACCAACTGGGTGGCACACACACAAGCACTACCAACTCTTTTCAGAAGGAGTCCTAGTGATACAGTGGTCAAGTGCTCGGCTGCAAACTTAAAGGTCGGCAGTTCGAATCTACCAGTCACTCCATGGGAAGTAAAGACTTGGCAATCTGCTATGATGAAAGTAATAGTCAGGGAAACCCCACGGGAAGTTCTGCTCTGTCCCACAGGGTCACTGTATGGCAGAGGTGACACGAAAACAGTGGGCATGGGTTTGCTTGGTTGTTTCATCGTCTCATGGTCAGAGTTGCTGGGTGCAAGTTGTCTGGTGGAGTGGCGTGCACGATCTATGGACACTACGTTTTCAGGCATCCCCCACTCCACAAATGCCTCTACATTAAAGCCCTATCATCCCCCATCCAGCACCAAAAAAATCAGTAAATGAAATAAAAAGGGTTGTTTTCTTTCTTTAGGAAGTCTTATTATTTTTTGCCACTTTCAAAATCATGATTAGAAATTTAACAAGACTTACAAGCAGACAGTCCAAGTGTTTCAACTTGGTTAGAAATAAACAACAATTATATTTCATGCCTATGTTTGGAGCTCTGGTAGCGTAGTGGTTACGAATCGGGCTGTGAACCTTAAGGTCAGCGGTTCGAAACTACCAGCCGCTCCACGGGAGAAAGATGAGGCTTTCTACTCCCGTAAAGATTTACACCCTCGGAAACCCTGTACAGGGTCGCTATGGGTCGGAACCGACTCGAAGGCACTTAACAACAACAACAACAACATGTTTGGAGAACCAGAAATGATCATTTCTATCCTCCTTCTCCACACTTGGGCTTCTTTCTGTTCCTCCAATGCTCCAAGCACAGGTTACCACAGAGCCTTTGCTTCGCTGTTCCCTGGACCTGGAATACTACACCCTCATACCTTCATTCCCTTGTCACCTATAAAGGTCTTTCACGGCCACGCTGGTCAAGGTTACCCTTCACTTTCTCCACCCTCACGTGCATCCTGTTATCAGGAGGGACCAGGCCCCTGGAGAAGGACATCATGCCTGGTAAAGCAGAGGGTCAGTGGAAAAGAGGAAGACCCTGAATGAGACGGCCTGACCCAGGGGCTACAACAATGTGCTCACACACAGCAATGGCTGTGAGGATGGTGCTGGACTGGGCAGTGTGTCCTTCATCTATACACAGGGTCACTGTGAGTGGGAACTGACCCAGTGGCACCTAATACATACACCTCCCATTAGCGGAACATTGGCTATGTGCCAGGGATACTTCATCTAGCCTATGACCTTATCTGATTACAAAGGGAAAACTCCCAAAACCTTATAGCCATCGAGCCGGGTTCGACTCATAGCAACCCTGTACAGGGTTTCCAAGGCCGTCGATCTTAATGGGACCTGAATCTTCATCTGTCTCCCACAGAGTGGCTGGTGGATTTGAGCTGGCAACCTCGCAGTTAGCAGTCCAGTGCTTATCCTATAGTGCCACCAAGGCTGGAGGGTAAAAAAGGAGGTAGGGAAGGAATGGAAAAGAGGGTCCACTCCATCTCACTTCCTACCCAAAACCAAACCCACAGCCACTGAGTCTATTCTGACTCATAGCAACCCCATAAGACAAAACAGAACTTTCACAGAGAGTTTCCAAGGCATTTACAGTTGGTGGATTCAAAACGCCGACCTTTCAATTAATACTGCGACACTTAATCCACTGCGCCACCAAAGATCCTCTGTTATACGTAGTGTACATGGACACACATGGACGCACAGGTTCTGTCTCTCTTTCAACCCATCACACCAAAACACTCTAAACACAGTAAACAGAACATGTGATCTCTAAAATCATTCAAATAACTCAGTTGTAAACTGCTACAATTTGATGAACTTTGACCTATTCTTAAGGATGTAGTAGCTCAAAATACCAACTGAGAGGGAAGGAGTCTTCACATCAAGTATCAATCCTATCGCTTCCGTAGACAAGGTTGACAGGGACAGGCAACTGAGACATTGGCTAACTAAAATGGGGGTGTAGGGGGTGGGCAATAAAGGCACCAATTGACTGGCTTACAAGTTTTCAAGAAGGAGTTCACTTTCAGAGTGTGCAGGGTAAGGTAGAACCCCCACTGAATAGTTTTCATCTTGTCCAGATGGGTCTGGTGAAAAGAGATGGGAATAAGATTCTTATGATTCAATAGTGAGTAACTGTTACCATGACTAATTGTGACTGACTGTCACAACTGTAAAGGTGAAAGTTTTGTAACAAAAAGGGGGGAGTAGTTAATCTTACATTCCAGGAACAAAGGACCCTAGGACCATCAAGGGAGAAGAGCACAAGTGGAATGCAGGACCCTATCCAGAGAAGCAGCAATACCAGAGATGGAGACAGAGATAAGGATGTAGAGAGAGGAAGCAGCTGAGGGCTCAAGACTCATGGAAAGAGAAAGGCTGTGTGGTGGTGGCCAGGAGACAGGCTTACAGAATGTGCTCTTTGGTTTTTTAAATAATTACATAATCCTGCATATTTTTGTTTACCATCAAAAAAATGGTGGTGGGGGGGTGCAGAATGGAGGCAAAGGTAGCATAGTGGTTACAAATTGGGCTGTGAACTGCAAGGTCAGCAGTTTGAAACTATCACCTGTTCCACAGGAGAAAGATGAGGCTTTCTGCTCCCGTAAAGATTTACAGCCTCGGAAACCCTGTGCAGGGTCACTATGAGTCGGAACTGACTCCATGGCACATAACAACAACTGTAACAGATGATGCATGGAGGGGATTGTAATCATTGCAATCAACAAAATATGACTGGTTGAGTGTAAAACCAACGTTCCACCATGTAAATGATCACTCAATTTACAAGAAAAGCTTTAAAAACAAAACCAAAAAATGTCACTAGTCTACAGGGCTTTAGGACCATAGTCCCAAAGGACATCAAGGTCAATCGGCATAAAATTGTCCACAAAGACAATGTTCTACATCCTACTTTAGGGAATAGCAACTGGGATCTGAAAAGCTCATGAGTGGTCATCTAAGGTGCAGCTACCAGTCTCTCCCTGTGCCAAGGAAAGAAGAGTGATGAGAAATGAAGATGTTTGGAATCAATGAATCCAACGGCCTAACAAAGCTTGTTGTGACCAGCAGTCTCCACAACCCCTAGATCAGAAGCATTAGCTGGTGCCTGAATACTACTATCAACTGCTCTGAAAAGTATCACATTAGAAGGTTATGGATAGAGAGGGAAACAATGTGGACCAAAAGTCAAACTCAAAAACGAAGCCCAGACTACTGGTCCGACAGCAAAAGATAGAACCCCAAGACTATGACCCTTGGGTCACTTTTCAAGTCTGGAACTGAACTCATCTTCCTGGCAATTTTTAGCCAAGCATTAATACTAGTGAGGTACCCCACAGGATAGAAAGGTCAAGCCTTTTGAGATCCAAAGGACAGCATTTACCTCAGGACAAATTTCAGAAGGGTAAAGAAAGAAACAAGAAACACAGGGAGGAAAAGGGTAAGTGATGTTACAATAAAGGGCTCGCAAGTGAGATGAAACAAAGTGTATGATTTGTTGAATGAAAAACTGCTGATGTAAACCTTGACTCAATTCACAGTTGAAAACTTTAAAAGACATGAAATAGATACAAATGAAAACATTTTTTTAAAAGTAACCAGCCTTATCAAACCGACACAATTCTCTGAGAATTTGGTGAATTCTTTTAGTGAATTAATGTTGTTGTTGTTGTTAAGTACTGTGGAGTTGGTTCCGACTCATAATGACCCTGCACAGGGTTTCCAAGGCTGTAAATCTTTACAGGAGTAGAACGCCTCATCTTTCCTCTGCGGAACCACTGGTAGTTTTGAACTGCTGACCTTAAGGTTGGCGCCCAACTTGTAACCACTACGCTACCAGAGCTCCTTAGTGAAATAATAGACTGGCACAAAATAAAGGATCTGGATCTGCTCCGTGAGTGTGTGACTCCATCATAAAATCCATCTATATGAAACTGGAAGGTCAACAATTCCTCTAAAGAAAGCTGAGATAGTAAGGTGGGATAGGAAAACTAGAGTATTGAAACTGGAACAACCAGAATGTAATGAATGAAAATGTTGGCACCCTGTGAAAAATGTAACTAATGTCAATGAACAACTTGTATAGGAACTGTCAAATGGGAATGTCCCTGGCCTAGTCCCGACACCTATGTGAGAGAAGCAAAGACATCCCTGCTTCCACACCTCTGAGGTTACAGGTAAACACTGCCGATCTACTCACCAGGGGGACCCAGTAGGTGTAGAGTGCTCCAAGTCTCATTTCAGGCACAAACTGGGAGCAGGCGAGAAGTAAGAAATAGAGGTTGAAAAAGTATTTGAACTGGTTGAACAGCACCTACGAGAGAGAGAACCAAAAAGAGACACATTACATTCAGGGCTCTGACTGATGAACTTTTGCAGGTTTAGAGAGAGACCAGGGATACATGAAAGCATTCCTATAGAAGAGCCCACTCACAGGATTACTTTGTCATACAGCATCAAAAGGTGCAAGCACTGTTTAGCAAAACATACATGGGTAAATGACAATGCATATAAATCATAAAAGCACCAAAAAAAAAAAAAGAAAAGAAAGAAAGAAATCAGCAACCATATACATGGATACTCTCCAAAGTATAGCCCGAGTGCTCCTTGGAGGCCAAGATGGCCAGACTTTGTCTCTCATACTTTGGACATATTGTCAGGAGGGACCAGTCACTGGAGAAGGCTATCATGTTTGGTAAGGTGAAGGGTAGGAGAAAAAGAGGAAGACCCCCAATGAGATGGACT